TCTCAGGCTATCTTCAACTAGCCAGTAATCAATTATCTGGTGAGGTCCCTCCTGATATAGGCAATATGCGTAACTTCAGCATGCTGCATTTGGGATTCAATCAATTCTATGGTAAACTTCCTTCAGAGATTGCACTCATGGGACTAGTAGTTCTCAACATTACAAGGAACAATTTTTCAGGAGATATTCCAACAGAAATTGGAAATATCAAGTGCATGCAAAACCTTGACTTGTCATACAACAACTTCTCTGGCACCTTTCCTGCTAGTTTTAACAAACTGAGTGACTTGAGCAAGTTTAATATCTCTTACAATCCATACATCGCTGGTGTAATACCTGAAACGGGACAGCTGGCAACATTTGAGAAATGGTCATTCCTTGGTGACCCACACTTACGCCTTCCACCTTTCATTGATAATTCTACTGGTGGTGGACAGGGAACCAAAAGTGAAAGTGCCAAAAAGCCTAAAAAGTTGGGTGCATTTTTGGCATTCTTAGCACTGCTACTGGCTTTCTTACTCTGTGGAGTCATGACTCTCATTGTTTGCCTCATGATAAAAAGTCCAACGGACTTACCAGGATATCTCTTGGAGGAATCAAAGGGAATGCACGAACTTGTGTCAACTTCAAGTTCATCTTCCCCATGGTTGTCAGATAGAGTAATGGTAATCCGCTTAGACAAAACAGCCTTTACTCATGCTGATATTCTCCAAGCTACTAGTAACTTCTCAAATGATAGGATCATTGGAAGAGGAGGATCTGGAATAGTTTATCGTGGGGTCTTGCCTAACGGCACAGAAGTGGCAATAAAGAAGCTACAGAGAGAGGGTGTGGAGGGAGAAAGAGAGTTCCAGGCTGAAATGGAGGCATTGAGTGGAAATGGTTTTGGTTGGCCACATCCTAACCTGGTAAAACTTTATGGGTGGTGTCTTGATGGATCAGAAAAATTGCTGGTCTATGAATACATGGAAGGTGGCACTTTAGAGGACCTTATCATTGATCGAACAAGATTTACATGGAAAAGGCGCATTGAGGTAGCAGTTGATGTAGCGCATGCTTTAGTATATTTACACCATGAGTGCTATCCTTGTATCGTGCACAGAGATGTCAAGGCTAGCAATGTGCTTCTTGATAAGAATGGGAAGGCACGAGTTACAGATTTTGGTCTTGCTAGAGTTATTAATGGAGGAAGTCATGTCAGCACAATGGTGGCTGGTACAATTGGCTATGTTGCACCAGAGTATGGCCAGATATGGCACGCCACGACAAAGGGTGATGTCTACAGCTATGGGGTGCTTGTTATGGAGCTAGCAACGGGGCGACGTGCTGTTGACGGAGGAGAAGAATGTCTTCTTGAATGGGCAAGAAGGGTAATGGGAGATGGACGTCAAGGATTTACTAGAAGCCTGATTCCAGTATCCCTTTTGGTATCTGGGCTGGAAAAGGGAGCAGAGGAGATGTGTGAATTACTAAGAATTGGAATAAGATGCACAACAGAGACACCACAAGCCAGACCTAACATGAAAGAGGTGCTAGCTATGCTGCTTCAGATTTCAGGTAGAGGAAGCAGAAGGCATCAAAGTTATGGATCTTCTTCTTCATCAGGATGAGCAAGATATTGGATTATTTGAACTGTCTCAAGTGTTCATACTTCAAGCCTGAACATAGTTTAGTTGACAAACATATACGTACCAGGTATGGGTGTCCATGTTATAATTGTTCATGTAAACAAATACTTCACATTCATTATTGTTATAGGATTTACAATTTTGTCTGCAATGTATATAGAGTCTAATGACTAAAGAAACATTCTTGGTTGCCATTTAAGACAGTTTTCCACCAGATCATCAAGGCAATGTTGAAATTTGAAAAGCAGTATTTTATTCCATTAGAAAATCGGTAACGATTTACTAATATCCAATAAAGAAACGTTCAACTCACTCACGACTCCAGTGACAACTCAAGAAAAAAAAAAAAAAAAACTGATCTTTGTAATCAGAATTTTCCAGCCAAGAAATCAGAGATTTCATTATTACAAGATATTACCAATTTACAGATGGCCTAGTATATTCTACTATGCAGAACGATAGATTTGACAATCCTGCTTCTTAAAATCGAGAGCCAAATCCATCCTTCAGGAACTGTTTCCAAATATGGGACTTAAACAAAATTCTAACCATTTACATATCTGATTTTTAGTGCTTCCTTGAACTGATTACAGTCACCTTGTTACAGCATACCTTTCTCACGGTTTTACCTTCGACTTCGTTTGTTCATCTGTTTTGGATCTTTGGGAGAAAAAGGGAGGTGGAATAATGAATTTGATCTCTCAACAAGAGAATGTATCTAATCTGGATCTTCTACAATGCAAATGGTAATTTTGGTATTGATAGGAGGATGCTAGTGCTGCTGCATTGAACAGCAAGACTTGTGCAGTGCAATTGATGTATTAAGAAGTTTTCAACAGTGTCTCCATAGATAGCTAAAGAGTAATGCTGAAGCAAATGCAGCAGAAAAGATTGACCAACCATTTGAAAGAAATTGCATATCCACCTAATTCAAGAAGTTAGAGGGCCGCTCAGGAAGAGTTGACAACTAAAATAGGCTACAATGATCATCTCATTTAGCACATTTTTAATTTGAAGAATCCTTTGAATTGACTGGTTTGGCCAAAATCTCAAATCGTTTGAATTGATTGATAATCTATGAATGTCATTGGAAATTTGGGACTGCAATCATTGCATTACTTGAGAATCCAAAGTTGTTCTTCCATTTTATAATGTCCAAGAAGTCAATGTGGCATTGTTAGTGGAAAATGTGGCAATGATTTAGTGGAAAAATGGAATCGGGGTTGTTGAGACTAGTTTCTTGTTTGGAAAGGGATTTTTGATCAAAAACATTCTACTTTTTCTGTAAACGTGTTTTTCAATAGTGTCATACTAGTTTTAGGAAAATTCTATAATCTTTTATGGAACATACCCTCAATTTGTATCCCTCAATGATGATAATAGTTATTATTTTGTCAAAAATACTTGTTTCTCCATTACAGTGAATGTAACTTGAGGGTGTAATATCCCGTTGGATTTAGTGTAATTTGAGTCCAACTCACTTTAATTGAGTAAAAAAATGAGACAAAATTCGAAATAGCATATTGTTCTTAAACAAAAGCAGAAAAATGAGACAAATACAACTTCCAACTGTATGAGGATATAAATTAATTTCCTTTAAATAACCACATAAATTTATCTTCAGTTACACTTATATAAGCAGAGAGAGAGAGAGAGAACATCTGTAGCTTTTGGTGCAACAAAAATACAAACTGGGATATTGAATCAGAACTTTTTTGCACTCTTCCTAGGAGTAAGAAAGTGGGGGGTGGGGGAACTATTTTCTCTCAATTCAGTACTCTTAACAGGCAGTCTTATGTAAGAAAAATCTTGAAAATAAAAACTATTTCCAATCAATCTTATCCTTTTCTTCAAATAAATAAAAAAAAAAAGGAAGAATTGTCACTCATTTCAGTGCTTAAATTTTTCATAAGAAAACAGCACTCTTATTTACCAAAAAACAAGGATTTAAAAAGAATTTTCCCACTCAATCTTTATCTATGAAAAAACAAGCTCTTTTCCAATTATTTTAGGAACCATCTAATGATACCTTGGGGAATAATTTCTGCCCACTGCCAAAAAGGGGCAAGCACAGGATAATTTCAAAACATTGAGCCGCAAACCTTTTTGAGAAAAAATGTGCGGCCCAAATCATTCCTTATATACATTCTCCCACATTGATATCTATCGTAACATGTAGTCGTATCAAATGTACATTTTGTTCATCAATTTGTACAACAGTAACTTCTTGGTGCATAATCCGTGCATGAAACAGTACATTTTGTCATAATAATCATTTTTGACAATTGTAGAGATCCCACGCAAGTTCTTGCCATTATCAAAAGAACAGGTCCTGATTTGACAAGAAAAAGAGAAAACAATAAAAGAAAAAATGAAGCAAGAAAGAATACTGAACAAGTGAACATTTGTGCAACACAGGCACATGTTGTCACACATTATCACATTGTGAGGGTGAAAAATCAAAGAACTTCACAGCCCCATTCCCACTGATGTATATTTCAGATTCATCTTTGAACTGCAAATTGCAAATTTTTTACATGGTAGTTATAGTTTCAGTTATTTTTTTTTTTCTATGTTGAATATGACACAGTCCACAACTAGTAGCTGATCATGTACTGCTTTTATTTTTTTTCTCATTTCCTCATTCCAACTTCTCATTATTAGCACATATATTAAGCCGGGAAAGTTCAAAAAATTTCTTTTCTCAGCTGCAGTGTCTGAATAACCAATTCTTCTTGTTATTATCCTTACTTAGGGCTTAATCACTATGGTTTTGATTTCTTTCTTCCTCTGTCAAATATCATTCAGTGTTGATCTCCGGAGCTAATAGCTGATGGGATGATTTTGCTATACCTTTTCCTTCTGCCAAGTTCTCATTATGAAGATGATATATAATGTCATGTTGCAAAAGATAATATATAATGTCCATTATTTGATTGACTTCATGGTCTTGTTGAATCTTAACATTCTGAAGTGAGATCTTTAACCTTTGGTCATTGCAGCTACCTTACCTGAGCTATGATATTTCATTGACTAACATATTGCATAATAGACTGCATATAGTGTCCAGTTTTGTATCCACTAAGATAGTTAACCTGTCCATGCAAATGCAGAGATGTGAAAATGAAACTTGTGCAAATTTGTTCTGTATCATCAGTTATTCTTTTGCTTAATGAAATCAAAAGAAAAGAAAAAGTTCTCGACTTTTAGTAGAAAAATGTATAAAACTAGCAGAAATGTTATAATTGGTTTCAGAATAAGCATACTCTTGATCAAGCCACCACTTGATATTTGGTAAAGGGTATTGAAATATTTGATCGAGTACTGAAGGTGTATATTTTGAATTCTTGCATGTATGTATGTTAAAGAGAAATGGCTGAAGAGAGGAAGGAGAACATTATGTCTGTGGAGCTTGCAATTCAGAGGGAATTAGCGTACAGAGAAAAGATTGCTAGCTTCTTGTCCGGGAAAGAAAAAGAAGAACTGCTGCCTTTGAAGGTGAGATTGCCCAAAGTTTATCTTATCTCATGCTGTTTCTACTTTAGCTGTCTCTTGTAGTTCTGATTCTTGTTTGATTCAGATTTACTGGGAGTTTTAACAGTAGAATGCATCATAGTTTGAATTGACCACAATGCTAGTAGCTCAATGAAATTATGAAGGTCTGAATGCTAGTCATTTTAGCACCATTCACATTTCAACTAACTAAACTGGGTACTTTTCTGGGGAAAACTTGAAACAATTATAAGCTGAATTATCCATGAATTTAACCAGATATTCAACCCTTATTTGTCACTTATATAAGGGAGTCTGAGCTCCATACGCAATAACTGCCAGTCAGAAAACAGAGAATTTTGATTTAGGCAGTATAACTTCGTTTCTGGTGATCAAGCATCAGGCTTTAGATGGCTCCAATGAGTGGGAAAAGGGACAAGGGGGTCGTTTTCTCAAAACTCATTCTTCCATTTTCTCTTTTCAGGCATGGTTGCTTTGCGTTTCAACTTCCTCAAGAAAAGGGTAAACATAAATTAAGCATAGCTCCATCAATATCAAACTTTTGCAATGAATATTTTCTGAGAAAAATCTCCTGCCAAATTTCGAATCCACTGTTTATGATGTTCTAAATTGGTGCTAAACAACTTTTGCAACTGCTTTTGGTAGTTTTCTCTCCTACATTTTCTGTAGTTTTCAGATCAAATCAGTTGGCATTTGGCCTCTGGTTATGTAATACCCTGAACTAAATGAACTCTGGTATAGCATTCATGTCCTATGACACTCAGTCACTGATGTGTAAATGAGCGATCTTCACAACTTGCAGTCACTAGAAGCAACATTGCACTGCCCTAAAAACAATGCTGTTATGCCTTAAAGATCTTTCACTTCTTATGTCGTACATAAGGAGATTTCAAGAGAATTGCTTTAAATTATCTCTTGCCGTTGAACATTAAAAGCTATAGATATAACCAATATGTTTAACAGCAAACTGAAAATGCATATATGACAATGTATCTAATTAGTAGAGCTGATACAAGAGTAGGTTTTTTCTGTTCCATCTCTGCTCTTTCCTTTTCCTGCACAAACTTTTGAGCCCTTACTTGATTAATGTTTTAGAGATTAAGCAACTGTAAAAGAATAGGTTAGTCATGTATCCAAATTTTTTGTCCAATTTGTTCTTCAGTTGGATCCTCAGATATATTGAAATCATGCTTTCTGGGCCAGTTTCTTACTAATTCACGACACAAGTTATGCCTGTTTCCTCTTCTGCTTGTGTATCTAACTCTTTTTAATGGTAAATGTTGAATATCTTGTTCTTTACTTCAGGTACCATGTTCAACTACATTTACTAGTCCATATCCAAGTCCAATGCAAAATGTAGGGCAGAGTTCAATCTCAACTTCAGCCTCTAGAAATCAGTCATCATACCGGGGCAAATCTCCAACTCTAAGTCCAGGACCTGGACATGGGAAAGCAGATCAGCAATGCAATATCAGTAACAGGTCCGACATATTCTGTAAAATCTGCAAAGTGAGCTGCTCAAGTCCTTCCAATTACAAACAACACATCAGAGGTGAGAAGCACAGGGCTATGATGCATTCCCCAAAACTGAATAAGAATGCAGCTGTTGGACCAAGTAAAAATCAGCAACCAAGATGCAATCTGTGCCAGATTGTATGCATGGATAAAACTAGTTTGCAATTGCAGTTGAATGGCCAAAAGCACAAGGCGAAATTGAGGATGAATGAACTTGGGAGGAAGGGGGAAATTTCCCAACAATTCTGGTGTGAAATGTGTCAAGTTCCTTGCAACAATGAAGAGACATTTCAGTTGCACCTGAAGGGAAAAAACCATGTTGCTCGCAAATATGCTTTGGAGGAAGAAAAGAAGGCCATTTAAAATGAAGCAATACTGCTTAGGACTTATCAGGTTCTCCAAATTTGTGAATTACGAAACTTATTTAGACCTAAGAGATTTATCAGTTGTATTTTAAGATTGACTACGTTTTATGGATAATTTCTGATCATTTAAGATTCATCTTAACTCTCTACCGTATTAATATGACATCTGATGATCTTTCTGCATAAATCCTAACGACAACCAAGATGATGATTCTTACTCTTTTGCTTGAGAAACTGTGGTAGCCATGCAGATTATAATGGACTAATGGATGGATTCAACCAAGTTATTCCTTGGAAATGACCTCTATTATCAAATTTTCTCATCTTTTTAACAAAGTCACTAATCATTAAACTCCACATTTCTCATCTCTGTGTGCCATTCATCAACAATCTTTCAACACAGGCACCAGCATGTATGTCTATTTATCCCAAGATTAGTATATCATTAGCTAATCTGTCTATCTATCTACCTCTATCTATCTATCTATATCTATATCTATAATCTATAATCTATCTATAATCCCTATAAAAGTACCGTGAGTCTAGGAGTGTAAGCAATGTAAGCAAAATTATGTCTTACTTTTTATAGTACCTAAACTACCCCCCATAGAATAATTGTAATGCATTTTAATAATGATAAATGAATTAAACCAATCATGTTAATTGACCGTTACAAAAGTTATCTATAACTGAAATGACACAATGAAAGAATTAAAATGCATCATTAACAGCAAGCAAACAAACCCAAAAGAAAATCTCCCTAAAATTGAAAACCAATAATCAATCAAATGACATAAAGTGAACAAACAAATTAATCAAAAAAATGAAAAGGACAACTTAAATGACACCAAAAACAACGTTTAAGTGCCCTTAATATAGAGGCACAGTTGCTTGTGTTTAATTTGTTTGGTGAGATTAGATCAAGTCCATCCTACGAGCAGTATAGTAGCCATTTCCAATGGACAAGGAAAAGAAGAAGGGAAAAAAAGGTTAGAATAAAGCATACTCTAATTTTTAAGTATGTAAACTATCTTATGTGTAAAATTTAGTGGTGTCAATTTGTGGTTAATTTAGCATCTTAGAAATATCCACAGTGTTGATCTTGGTAAACTAAGAAACCTTTAAGAAGTCATTTAGATGAAGAATTGCTAGATCAAAATGCATTAAAAAATAATGGGCCAAAATCATAACTAGAAACTTTGGTGAATGTGAGCATATGAAGAGTGGTGTAAACTATATGACAATAACCCCATATGCTTATGATACAAATTTTGCTAACTGTGGTTCTCTCTAAATTTATAATGTGCTTATCATTTACTTTTCCTCACTTTAAAATACCCCATATTATTTTCTCCATTGTTCTAATGTAGCAGCAAACTATACACTTACTCATATGACCGTTATCCTCATATAACATTGGTTTTATCGTCTCAATGTTATCTTTTTCTCTGATTTCATCATCATGCATGCAATATTGCTATCCCGCATAACAGTGCCCTCATATAGCCAAATCAAGAAAGAACCAATATAGTACAATCATAAGTTGTGAATATTTTGGATGCGAAGAGTACAATTAATTAACAAAAAAAAAAAGGCAAAAAAGTGGCGTACCCTTTATTAGTGTATAAATTTGCAAAGAAGAAAAGCAAGATAACATCTAACCAAAAGTTAATCATCTTGGTACCATTCCTGAAGGTTAGATTTATAAATTGTAACTCAAGAAATTTTGTTTTATATTTTGGACCACGAGACATGCGATCTTTAGCCAAAAATAGTTACACCTTTGATTATCGTCCTTGAAAGTTGAATTTAGAAATTGCAACTTAACAAATTTTGCTTCGTATATGTTGACAAGAATACTACATCTTTCTTTATATATAAGATGACGTATACTCTATGATTAGTAGAAAGAAAAAATATTATAGCTTTAATAATCAACATGTTATAAAACACTTTAGAACAAAAACAATATAAAAAATAAAAAATATAATCACTTTGCACGAGTAGTATTACTAGTTACCCTATAAAAAGTATGTTGAGTCTTAATGGTTAAGAGCAGAAGATGATCTTAGTTTTTATAATGCCAATATTACCCTCCTTGCCAATAAATGGGCAAATTACATTGCATTTTCTTAATAATTAATATGAATTATACCAACAGTCACAAAATGAACATTTCCTTGAGTTGTGGTGAATTAAACCAAAAAAAGAACAACAAATTCATTCCATTTCATCAATAATTAATATCAATTTTGCTAAGAGCTACAAAATGAAAACATTCCCCCGAGTTTGCTGAAAAGCAGAACAAGTCTTTTTATTCTTTAGATACAGGTTCACAGTAAATCCTAAAAGCACTCTATGAGTATGCATACATTAACAGTGAGTGAGCAACTTTAACATAACACTAGTTTTTTTTAACTTCATGCTATGCATGAGTGTGCCCCGGTGCTGGTTCGATTAAAAGCACGAAATTCCTGCTGAAAGTAAGATTTGTTTATAGCTACATGTATGCAAATAGTGAAGTCATCAAATCACAATGCAGATATAAGAACAAAAATAGCAAGAATATGCATCAGGCTTCTGTCAATGGTGTTTCATCAATCGGTATATAGGAGTGCAGACAATGCTGTGGGCCTGTGGCCTATAATATTAAGCAAACCATTCATACAACACAAAGGAAAGAAGATGTTCTAGAAATAAAATCGCGATATCTTTTTCTTGAATGCTTAGCATTAAATTGATAATAAAATGAGCAGTAACTTTGATAACAAAATGAGCATTAGTTGAAAGAGAGTAAAGGCAGAATATAACAGGTACACAATAAGATATATTAATTTTTGGGATAATTTCAGAAACCTCCCCCGAGGTTTCTCATAATATCACTCAATTCTCCTGAGGTTTTTAAAATCTCGCTTACCTCCCTTGAATTAACATTTCTTACAACATTTTAACCCCTTTGGAGGAAATACAAGAAAGGCAAAACTTTTGTTCCAATACTACCCTTATGTTATCCTACTTATGAAATTTATAACAACAATAACAAATAAAATAAGGTTAAATTTTTTGTAAGATGTAAATTTCTTGACGGAGACTATTTATTTTAGTTATATTGGAACAAAAGCAAAATTTACACCTTGAAAATTCACACACATGAAGAGAAGAGATTATTTTAGTTTTCAATACAATTTAAACTACAGCATGAAATAAAACATATTTCCCCAAAATATATCTTGACTTCCTTAATTGTAACTTAACTATGCATGAAATTTTTTAAAGTATTAAGTACTCACCAAAATCCTGATAAGTGGTTGACCTTGATTAAATTTAATTTATCTACATCATTTGCTATTCCACCACGACCCTAACATAAAGAAATATGGACCATTATTAGCTAGCAATTTATTTTTTAAATTTAAATTTTTTGTTTTTAAAATTTTATTTGTTTTGGCTTTGTAGTTAAATAGTTATTAAGAGCAAGGGCAATGTTGTCAATTTGTGACTTTTGATAGGAATATTTACTCTTATCAAGTTGACAAGGGAAGTAAGTGAGATTTTAAAAACTTCAAGAGAGCTAAGTGATATTATGACAAATCTCAGGGGAGGTTTCTGAAATTATGCCTTAATTTTTACTAAAACTGAAGGAACAGTGATTATTATATAAACTTACATAGGAATTGAGAAGGATTTTGAAGGCTCTCGCACCACATTTAGGCCACCAGCATTAGTAGGAATACCTCCTGCTGCTGATGTGCCTGTAGAACCTCCACTGAGACGAGATTGTCTTAATTTTACAATTGGTGATTGATGTTTCTGTTCTATATTTACAGGTCCAGAAAAGTGATCAGTTTTTCGCAAGCTCTGTTTTCTTCTAATTATAGGACCTATCCCTTTGCTACTCAAGGTTTTCCCACCTTCAGTAGGTGCTGGGCATTCCTGATGTATTGGATACGCATTTGCTAAGAACAAAAAACAAAAAAAATGACTTGCTGATGAACAAATAAGGGTACATAAAAATATTAGGACTTCTTTTTTTTATAGTATCATGCTTGAGATTTCTCGCAGTTTTTCTCATAAAAGTTTTGACAGGCAATCTACATAACAAATAATTTTAATTGGTTAAGTAATGTTCATGTAAAGTTTCAGTAGACACTTATCAGTTGCATTCCAAAGTAATATGTTCCTCCCATTTTACTTTACTTGCTATCAAACTTGAAGGCCTAAAATCAAAAGATACCGTCATTCCACTTTCTATTTTTGGCAGAAATTATTAAGGAAAATGTTGTTTATTGACATTTGACAGACGGAAAAAACTTAGGAGCACCGGTAGAAAATAATTTGTCTTCTTCACTCAAATTTACACTACTTAGATGGGTGCAAATACAGAGGAAGTCGAGCTCAAACAATTGCTGAAGCAAATTTTGGCAAACTGAAAGGACAATTCATCTCTGTAATCACCACATGAACACAAAGGAAGGAAAAAAGGGTAGAGAAAAGTTAAGGTTGGTTGGACATTCATTACCAGGGTCATAGGAATAGTTCATTCTCAAAAACCAATACGGTAACATTCAACAACGAAACCACTAAGCTAGCTCAGTGGCCACCACCTCTCCTGGTGGGGTGGGAGGTCAGGGGTTCATTCCTTGCCTCCCACCAAATTGTTTGCCCCTCATGGGCAACTCGGTTGGTCTCAGCAAACCTTCTTAGGAGCTGGTGTTCAGTGCCCGCAAGAGTCCGAATCTTGTGGTTATCGTGTTCTGGGTTAGGTAAAAACCAATTTTTCATGTCTCACTTTCATTTCTAGATTTCCTGTAGATTTAATTTCAGCAGTTTGAAGACCTTTAACTTCATTGAATTAGATTCAAGAATACTAAACAAGGAGACGATGCACTTGAAGAAACAGAGCAATTTGGCATGTAACTATCCAATTTCAAAGAGTATTTCAAAGGTGAATCAAAATATATCCAAGTTCCTCATTAGTTTTGATATTATATAATAAAT